GTCTATGTCCCAGTCTGCCTGGGCAAAGTGGAAGATAGAGTAACATTATAGGCGCGAATTATAGGCTACACAACAATAGAGGAAGTAATCCATCCATCCATTCATCCATCCATTCATCCATCCATCCATCCACCCACAGGATATTACCAAATGACGCCATTTGTTCGTCTGACTGCAACACTGCGTTATTTCTCATTTCCTTTTTTCTTGCGTGGCGTAAAGTCTCTTTTTTTATTATTTTGCTGTCTTTGCTTGTCCTCTCTGAAAGTGTGTACGTATTTTTAAGCATGGGAAGAAAAAGTAAAAATAAAGAAAAAGAAAAAAAAGAAAAAGGGAAAAAAATATGTCTTGATCAAGCCGAGGGGAGAGCAGTGAGGACCCGCTGCGTGGCTTCTTGGGGACTCCTGGCGCTGGAAGGCAGAGAGGATCTGGATAAAGAATAATACAGAGAGGCAGATAAATCCCCCTGCCGTGTTTGGACAGCAGGTTTCAATATGCATCTCAAGTGTCTGACTGAAAAAAAAGGGGGCTTGATTAGAAACAGGGCGCACTTTCCTCTGTTCCTCTTTTTTATGTGCATGGTAAACAATAATAATTAATATTATTAGTATAATAAACAAAAAATATTATCGAAGGACAAAAAATCACATTGTGCATGTTTTACATACACACAAACAAAAAAAAAAAACTGAAAAACAGAAACAAACCGTTTTCCTTTTTTTTCCCCCTTTTTTTTCAGAGTTCTCCCCTGGGCTCCGGCTCTCCCAGGGGTCTTTAGGGAAAGCACAGAGCCCAGACAGAGCCCGTTTTACTCGGTGCCTTGATAAGTAGCCACACTCTCCCCAGAGAGGAGGAATTAAAGGGGGTGTGGGAGGAAAGTCAAGACCCCTGTCACCCTTAAAGCAAACTGTATTCTTTGTTTTAATCTGTGCTTCTTCTTCCTTTTTTTTTTTTTTGGTAGCCCAACGCTGTTTTAATTTCACAATAAAAAACATTAGACACAAATATGCCAGAATATTCCAATCTGTGTTATTCATCATATTAAAACACAAGTTATATTATGTTACAATAAACTTTCTTATTATTATTTATATGAAGCTGTCCTAACAATTTTTTTCTTTAAATTGCTGCCATTTTATTTTTCTTATATATATATATATATATTTCAATGTTGAAGTTTTAAACGAGTAAGCACAGTCCTACGACTAACATACCTTTTATAAAATAAAAAGACAAAAAAAGCTTTCTCACCTGTCATGAATGGGACGAAACGAAGACTTCAGGGTCTGTGTCGGAGGTGAATCAGGTCTTACTCCGTTTTCATGCTCTACAAAGAAATCCAAGAGGAGAAGGAATAAGAAGAAATATTGAGAAAAAAATAAGAGGTTTATGTATTTTTCTACCATCATATTTCCAGTTGACTCTAAAGCCAGCTGAGGTTTAAGTGCGCGCAGCCTAATCCTGCGCGCATGCGTGCTTTCGCTCCTTTAATTATGAGCCGTTTTGAGAAAAACAAACAGACACCAGTTGCTGCATTAAACACAACACAGGTTTAACTCCATGACTCGTGACACTCTCTCGTGTCGTGTTCATGCACGTCCCCCACTTACCTATGTGTTTGGGGCTGGGGGTCTCTGGTGGGGCCTTGGTGTTGTCGCTGAGCGCCGCTCCCGGAGACACGACCACCGACGCGGGCTGCTGCTGGGAGGATAAGTGATGATGGTGGTGGTGGTGGTGCTGGTTTACTCCCAGAAACGACCTGACGTTCAGCAGGGAGTTCTGGCCCAGGAAAGCCCCATTTGTCCAGTTGGGGAACTTTCCAATCTGGCACGTGTACAGTCCATGACTCGGAAGGAAGGCTGGGTGGGTCTGGATTTGGTGGTGGGGTGCTGCCGGGTGAGTGGTGGCCCCCGGGCCGCAGGGGGACGTGGGTTTCTGGGACGAGCTGTCTGGACTTGTGGCGGTCTCTGCTAAAGACCATATTTTGGGTTTATTGCTGGATGGAAGGGGGAAGCCCCCCGGTCTGTCCGGGGATAAAACCCGCGTGTTGTTATTGTTGCCGTCAGAGTTCTCCTTCCCGCCAGCGTGGGCTGAAATCTTGGATTTCTCAAAGGCCTCGTGGGCCTGCAGGGCAAAGGCCCGTCGTTTCTCCAAGCTGTCCAACTCCCCGGGCACCACTAAGCCCCCCCTGTGGTCCCTGCTCCCCTCCGTGGACTTGTCGTCCTCGTCCTCGTTGCTCTGATCCCCGTCGTTGTCATCTATCTTGTCTATGTCTATGCTCTCCAAGTCGATCTCCTCCTCGTCTTCGTTCTTCTCCGCCTCGTCGCCGCTGCCGAACAGGTGGCCGTCCTCCCCGTCCTCCTTGCTCCTGTTCCCCCACGTCACCTTGTTCTCCTTCTTCAGCCTCCTCCTGGCGTTGGCGAACCAGGTGGAGACCTGCGTCAGCGTCATCTTGGTGATGATGGCCAGCATGATCTTCTCACCCTTGGTGGGGTACGGGTTCTTCCTGTGCTCGTTGAGCCAGGCCTTCAGGGTGCTGGTGCTCTCCCGTGTGGCGTTCTTGGGCCTTGCGGGGTCTCCATACTGGAACTGGCCGTACGGGTAGAAGGCGGGGGACGTGTGGGCTGCGAAGGTGGCAGGGTGGACGCCAGGACCGTCCTTCAGGTCATATTGGGACCCCTTCAAAATCAAGCATGGACAGTCACCTCATTACCAACATCACTACTTCATTAAATAACTCAATTACTGCAGTTTTCTATTTATAATATGAGAAAATAATAAAATAATAAAAACCCGAGGGTTAGAGTTGCACCACGCACGACTTTCCACAAATAACCTTCTCATCTTGCAGCAAAGTCTTTGCTCCTGCGCAAATACTCTTCCATTGAGCTTTTTTTTTAACTTAAAAAAATAATCCCATCATAGTGATGACGTATGAAAGCCGAGTGAAAGTTTATTGACAGCTTTTATTGCGCAACGCTAAACGTTTCCTCTTGCCCAGCGCAGTTTAAAGGCCCAAGTCAAGCTTTTTTTTTCTCCCCCCTTAAGTTTATTGCTTTTTAATGAACCTTGAAACATGTCCATCAACTCTTAGCCATGTGCCCGTTTTTAGTTGTTACTTTAAAGCTGCAGCACAACAGTCAGTGTGTGGAACGTTGGCCTAAAGCATCAATTATCCAAGGCGTTAAAGTTCTTATTTGTTTCTCCTCCTGGTGCACCTTTTTCCCCCCAAACACACTGGTTTGATTGGAGGTTTTAGATAAAGTTTGCATCATGTGTGTGATGCCTTTTCTTAATAAAAGAAAACAAGAAAAAGAAACACAGTGCGTTTTTTTTTTCTCTTCAGATTGTGGATCATGACATCATCTGCTAAAAACCGCGGCTGTTTTGTATAGTTTCACTCTGTAAACTATATTTTGGTTTCGTTGACATTTTTTTTAGCAGATATTTGCTAAGTCAAAAAAAATCCTTTAATTCGATTTTTCCATTTAATCATTTAATTATTATTATTATTTTCATTCTGGCCAAACCTTGGGCTATAATAATCAAAGATCATCAGACAAACAATTAGCGTTAAAAAGTCGGATGTGTACTTTTTGGTAAGCGGATCATTACTAACTTGTATTTATTTATTTATTTATTTTTTTGGACGCAGTCCTTAAATAAAACATAGATCCTTACCATTTGTGAGAACAGAGCCAGGTCCGCGCTGGTGTACGGTAAGAACGCGCTGTAGTTGTGCGCGTACGGGTTTGCGTACATGCCCAGCACCGAGGTGACAGCCGCCGCGGTGGCGGATGGACTCCCTCCGATCTCCGTGCTCCCTCCCCGGGACGACGGCGTCAGCACCCCCGGCCTCTCGCTCCCGTACACCGCCTGGGAGGCACCGAGGTACTGAGGGTAGCCTAACTGCGGGAAAGACATCTCCGCCGCTGGATTGTCACACAGCTCCGACTCACGCGAAAAAAAAAACTGTGCGTAAAAAAATAATAAAATAAATAAAAATAAATAAATAATAAAAATAAAAAAAGTGCCGACAAGACACGGAAAACAAAAAAAGGGAGAAGAACCAGGATAAGTTAAAAAAAGAAGAAGATGAAAAAAAAAGGGAAAGTGTTTAAAAAGCCGGGGTGAAAGGGACGCAGTGGGAACAAACCGCCTTTTAAATCTCAGCTTCTTCTCTCTGTTTTTTTCTTCCTTTTTTTTTCTGTGCGCAAAGTCCGCTGGATGTGATCTGATCAACAATTGCGCTCCGACTGACGCGCCTGGCCCTGAGGTCTTCCAGGCTGATCTCTCAGATACAATTTGAAGTTGATGCTTTGATTGGCATCCCTTACTTGAGCCTGCAAGCTCCTCCTCGTTTGGAGCAATGTGGATAATGTGAATATGGTGTGTGCACATTGGCTGGGGCCTCCCTCTTTCCCCGTCACCTCTCTCTCTCTCTCTCTCTCTCTCTCTCTCTCTCTCTCTCTCTCTCTCCTCATGTTTGGACTTATTGTATGTTAAATGTTCAAGCATTAGAGTCCATTCACCGAAGGCTTTGATTGTTGTATGACAACCTGTCTACACGGTTTCACAGCTGTCCGACACAGGGGGAAGTAAACCCGTCAGAAGAAGGAACTTTTATTGTGTGTGGAATAGATTTAAATTGTAATTTAAAAAAAAAAAGGGGGAGGGGGGGCAGGAGCTTTTCCACAGAGGAATTAGTGTTTGGTAATTTGGGTTGCAGGTGCTGTTTTTTTATTATTATTTCACGCGAATCGATTTTCAACACAGGAAAATAAAATAAAAAAAAGTTGTTCATTTTATTTCTTACAGTTTTCCAAACTCCTCTACAAAAGTTATTCTCAAAAATATTTTAATAAATCACTTTAAATCCCTGACATTTTAAATCACATATATGTATACTATAAATATATATACTTTTTGAAAGTTTATAGCCTATACATAAATCTTGCAAAAGCTTATAATAATCAACCGAGTTTCTCCATTTGATTTGTAGGTGATGTCTTGTTTTATTGACTTTTTGTTTTCTTCTTTGATTTGTTCATAAAGGTTTAATCATCCCCCCCTTCTGCTCCCCCACTTTTCCTTTCCTTCTCACCCTTTCCAAGTGCGTGCCCGTGTGTGTGTGTGTGTGTGTGTGTGTGTGTGTGTGTGTG